CAAGCTCTTGCAATGATACACCCCCTCCTCCTCCATCCCCCTCCCCACACATCTCTGCAGGCAACATCACAGCCTTGAAAACCAAACTCCTCCAGTCACTGTAAAAGAACTTTTCTGATATCTCTGCTACATATTCGAGCTGTTTTTGACTGCAGAAACGAGATGCGTTCCAGGATTGAACGCTCCTATTTAACAGCTACTGTTACAGCAGAGCTAGAACACGGCTGAAGAGACTGGCTCTGGGTGTGACAGTCGTGCAGCTCCTCAAAAGAGCAGCAGAGTAGCTCTCAACTCAGGTGGCCACTTGGCAGATCAGATGTGAGGATTTGGAGGAGAGGTCACGCCGGGGCAACATCAGGACTGTGGGTGTACCAGATGGCGCTGATAATTGTCCTCTGTCTCTTCTCTGTTTTTGCTAAATGGAGCCGCTCTCTCAAACAGATCTTTTACATCTACTGCCAACACTTTCAAAACGTTCAATTTCCATAATATCTGAGCGGGGAAACTGTGTTTAGTGCTAACGTTAGCAACACACTAAACTAAGATGGAATTTAGCTCAAAGGGCCATTGTATCTAAGCCTCACAGAGCTCTTAGGCCAAAGATGTACTTGTTTTTAACTACACGTTTGCATACGCACGATGGCTGCCTCGCATCCCCTGCATCAGTTTGGATCGTTGTATGTGAACACAGGGTTAGACAGCAAGAATATCTCCGGCTAAAGACTAATTTGTTTATAGATAGGGCAGTATCAGGCTGGCCAAGATGTAAGCCAGGGCAGGTCTGTTCTGCTGAACAATGGAAGAGCAGGAGACGGGACTGTGACATGTACAGTGCTGTAGTCTCAGACTCAAGATGGTTTTTTCTACTGTCTCAGACTTTCCTCGCCAAATATTCTAATTGGCCTCAATCAAGCCCAGGAATATATAGTTTTCCTTCTGAAGTAACTTTCTCTTTCAAAACAAAACCATTGATGAAGTGAAAAATGGGTATTGCTTTAATTGGCTGCCTGGTAACCATGGTTACCAATCAATGTCACTATGCCTCGCTGTCAAAACTAATCTCATGGGCAAAAGCATTACTCCCTTTCTGACTGTGTCTCGACTAGTCCTGGTCTTGAGGGTGGTTATCTTCTGATATCTTCTGCCTCAAACTACAAACAGTTCCACTTTAACATGTTCCTGTGGTTTGTAAACCTCTAACTGCATCTGGTTTTGGCTGCTTGCTTACATGCACTGAGCGGTATTTAATATTGGATAAGCATATTTAGCCCACAGTTTGTCCTTTTCTCTTTTGCCAAGCAGAGATACCAAAGGCAGAGAGGAATTTTCTGTTAATTACTGGTAGCAACAATACTCAAGGACAGGATATCGCACTTAATTCTCATCTTAAGATGTTTAAGGGGTAAAAATCCTCTCTGTGAAGTATGATTCCTTCAGAAAGCCCAATTTAACATGGCAGCATTTCGCTGACAGTGCAGTTATACTGTACAAAGCGATATGGATTAATATTTCAAACACATGCAAGGTTTTGGTTTGGCTCCAACAAAATGGTCTCTCTACAGCAAGTCTCGCATGAAGGATACAACAAAGCTTTTTCCCCCTCCTACAGCAAACAGCATGTTCACTGTCTTTCTCTGCAGACTCGCTACCAATCGTTCTTTTTGTGATGTTATAATTAAAGGTAAAATTACCAGAGTTCATCATTCGTGATAAATAGTGTATTTACTGTTGCCTTCTTTCAATGTCACATCTCTTTATCTCAGTTCAAGAGTCTGAATGCCTCCAAAAACAGTTAAAATCCTCAGTGAATGCATCATACTAACAAGTTCTCCAAAGCCTAATATATCTTTCTTCATCAGTGCCAACACACTTCATTGTTGCACAGAAACTACTAAAACCCATTAATGTTTCGCTGGGTGACACAGCCACTTTAGTTTATTTTGACTCAATCCCACACACACCATCCTCCCGCCAGAAATACTCACTAGAGCACCAAATGTGTATTAATCCGCAGCTGACAATAGTCCCCAGGAAATACACTATTTCCCTTTGTTTGAGTAACATTTTCTAAGGATTTTTGTGAGCCATTTTTGACTGATATACATTGCTCAAAGCGGACATAAAATAATAACCAAGTCCGAGTCTAATAACAAACCATTTAAAACTGCGCTTTGAAATATTAATCTGGTATATTATACAATAATTTCTGATTCATTAGGTCTAATTACTTTTAAAACGCTTTAAAATTGAGACGTCTATTGAGACATGGGTTTTTGGCATTCACATACGCCAGCAGTCAACCAGGCACAGCCACAGAAGGACAATGAATGTCTCATGGTCATAGAAATAAGAAGCAAGTAGCAGGTAAACAGGAATTAATGAGCTGCCGTAATATGATACCTGTTACTAAACAGATTCTACTTCCAAAAACACTCTGCCAAGTCTCTGCCAAGGCAAAGGATGGAAACAATGGAGGGAAAAACAACTAGCTGGTGACAGCGGCCAAAAAACAAACTGCTTAAACCCTTAAACTGCCTGAAATTTAAAATGGCAACATCTCCTGGTGAAATCAGTTCATTTCAATGAAATTGACTCAATCAGATCAACTTTGGTGAACTTTGAGATGCAAATTCTCGCCACTGACCAATGATTAACTGTCCTGACTGCACTGACCTTTGAGGCCAAACTGGACGACGCTGTCTTAATTTATTAGCTTATTAGCATTCACTTTTATTTAACCTCCTTTACATTGTATAGCCTTAAACATGCTACCAAAAAGCTCATTATATATATATATAGCTCATTTATTATTTCACCATTTTAACCACCATTTTTTATTTTGGTGTTAAATACTTTGTGCACTTTCTTTTTCCTTCATCTTTCTCCACACACAACTACACCTCTGTCTCACACACACCGGCTGCCCTGTCCTGCCCTCTCTCTGCTCCTCTCTCCATATACAGGCTGAATGTGTCTGTTCCATTAGTTTGATGGTCAGCAGTAAGTTTTATAAAGTCGCCCAAGAAACACAACTTACGTAGTTTACCAACTATCCCTGTGAGTAGTCACTATGTCACTGATACATTTCTGATGTGAGCGGACGTTAACTCTGAGACTAGTTTGTCAACTTTTCCTGTTTCTTCTCGTCCTTCTCTGCCACCGTGTATCAAGCAGGATACACAAAGAGGATGGTCTAAATCAGCAGCATGTAAATCTGAAAATGATTACTGAAAAGCTGTTTATTTCTTTCGTCATAGCCTGTTATGCTGCTGCAGGTAGTAAATAGGTTAATTTGGTTTTAAAGTATCCTGGAGTAGTGCATTTTAATACACTAAAAACCTTACACAATCATATAAATCAGAGGTTGGCATTACTCTACATCAACTCATTGCATAAGACAGCGGTGCACATCATGCATTAAGCAGTTTATAGGAAAGAACTGTAAGTGAAGAGTGGGTTGTTTTTTTTTGAGAAGATATTGCTGTCACTGCGCTTTCATAAACAAAACGCATGTCCAGTGACTGACAATTCATTTAACAGGACAAACATCATCCTCAATCATCCTAATGGGCCACACGGAGCTTAACAGAGCTCCAAACCTAACCTTTTACCTAGTCCACTGTATACATGCAGACCTGGTTTAAAAAAAGCTTTCAAAAAAGGCGCATGAGGAGAAAGGTACCTCACTGGGGAATAAAGGGGAAGTCAGATAATCCCATTAGTGCCAAGTGGTGGGGAATTTAGATGTGGTCAACGTAAGGCAGCACAAAGGATATTTGAGTTACCCCGTCATTAGTTTCCAGATCTAACACCACCAGCTATGCACAATGCTGCCAAGTTCCCCCTGAACAAGGGTACAAAACTTCCTGCATTCTCTACATTAGCTAAATATTAAAATTCAATATAGCACACAGCAGCTGGGATATGCATTCAGGCTTATATCTGTCCCTGTAGAAGTAATCCATTCAAATACCTATGCAGACAATAGGACTGTTAGACTAATTAATGCCATGCCCATAGATGAATGGAGGTATTAGTCTGACCCTCAGATGTTTCACTGGGAAAAAAAAAACCCCGATCCTGCATGCAACTTCTTCATTTTCTCACAATTACGAAGCCAAGTAATGAATGTTTTTACTATAATTAAATTCTGGTTGTTCCATTATTGCACAAACAGGAACAGCTTGGCAACTAAATGCAATTCTTCTCCAGGGAGGATATTTCCTAAGAAAGACATGCAAATATTACACGTGATCAGTTTACTTGTCGTGGTAAGTATGTGACAACAGTTGTATAATGTCCTTTGTGGCTTTCAAGAGAGATTTTTTAATCCAATTTTTAGATACCCTTGATGACGTAATCAACCCGGACGATGAACTTTACGCAAAATGTACTGTCATTAAACATACAGTGTAAGGTGTTATTGATCCAAAGAAGACATGAAACCTGATTGGACGCAGGTTCTGGTCATGTGATTAGATCGACATATTTTGAGAGGATATACAATGTGTGAAACCTTTAGAGACGTATTAGGTTAGAAGATCCCTCAGGACAGTGAAATATTGGATCTTGGATTGATAGCAGCAGTTGTAGAGGGAAGCAATCAGTATCGCACAAAATATTCGAATGAAATATATGTAAAGTTAATTTATAAATTGTGTCAAAGAAAAAGTGACCCAGAAAATGTACTTGCTTTGAGCTAAGTGCTAGAACGCTAACATACACACAATGACATTGCTAACATGGTGATGTCTGGCGGCTAATATTGGGCAAATTAAAAATGTTAATTAAAGAAAAGATCAGGGCGTCACCAGCATTATTACAAATCATCCTGATGCGGCATGAACGTCTGTAATAAATTTCGTGGCAGTCTATCCAACCTCATGGTGGCGCTAGAAGA